TAGAAGATTGCTTTAGGTACTGTAAGGTTAAATTACTTGCCCAGGGTCACCCAGTCAGGCCAGGACTAACTCTGAGGTTGGCGCTTTGTCCACTATGCCACCGTCCCTCTCTGTAGCTACATCAGTGACAACTCTTTTTTTTACCATTTTCAAAGAGCTTTCATTAGTTTCTCACAATAATGCTGTGAAATAGGCAGAGCTGGAATTATTGCTTTCCCCATTTTACAGATGAGGAAACTGAAATTTAAAGAGGTGACTTACTCTAAATTAAAGGCCATTTACTGCCAGAACAGGGATTAGAATCCCAGTCTTCTGACTCCCAATCAGCATGGTTTCCCCTGGCCCATGTTTGTAAGCTAATGTAGGATCAGGCAGCAGCAGCTGCAAACAGTAGGCTTTGTCCAGCCCAGCCCTACCCTGTCCATGGCCCCTTGGAGCACCAGCACCTGTCTTTGGCTGGGGCCTGTGCAAGCTCGCTTAGCAGGGTGGAGAAATGACTCCCATTCCTCCCTCATTTCTCCCATTCCATGCTTCCCAAGGCATCTTCCCATCTGTGGATAGCTGCAGTGGGACCAGGCTGAGCTGGAGGTGGGGCTGGTCCCACAGGGCTCCCCTCATGCTTCTAGCTGAGGTGGTTCTGAATGCTCTGATATTGCTTACTACAGAGCTCAGAAAACCCCCCTCGGGTACTGCTGTTCAGTACCCATAGAGTGTGTGTCCTGAGTTGGCATAGGTCCCAGCCCCATGGGGCACTCCCTGCCTTACCTCCAGCACCCCACCCCCTACTTTCTACCTGAACTAGGAAACTGACCAATCCCTAACTGCCTGGCTATACCACCCTGAAGATCAGCTGCACATTCCATCCTGGAGCCTGGCTTCCCACACACATGCTTTGATTTCTGAGAAATCTAGCTCCTAGGGACCTGGCCCAAGGGCAGAGGATGGGCTAGTTTTATTCACCACCCCCACCTCCCCACACTAGCTATAGAGACCACAAAGGAAAAAGGAGTAGCATTAAAGAAATAATCCAAATAATATTAGTCTAAGGGAAAAGTACAGAACTGAAAATCCAAGGACCTGGGTCCTAGTCTTAGCTGTGTTATCAATTGATGGTGTGACCTTGGGCAAGTCATCTGCCTCCCTGAGCCTCAGGCCCCACCTGTCTAAACTGAGTGGATTTAGACTACTGAGCTCTTGGGTTTGTTTCTACTACTTCTTTCTTTTTTTTTTAGTAAAATCATTGATTAATTTTGATTTATCAACAATCACTTCCATGTGCTTTTGAGCTTAACCCCCTTCCTTCCCACCACCCTCCCCTGAGACGGCACACAATCTGATATAGGCTATACGTATACATTCCTATTAAACATATTTTCATGTTAGTGATGTTGTAAGTAAGAATTAGAACCAATAGGAGGAATCACCAGAAAGAGGAAACAAAACTCAACAGAAGAGAAAAAAAATAGCAAATAGTATGCTTCGGTCTGCGCTCAAATTCCATAGTTCTTTCTTTGGATGTGGACAGCATTTTCCATTATGAGGCCTTTGGAGATGTCTTAGATCCTTGTATTGCTGGGAAGGGTTAAGTTTATCAATATGTCATCGCCCAACGTGGCTGTTATCGTGTACGACGTTCTCTTGGATCTGCTCACTTCACTCAGCATCAGACCATACAAGTCTTTCCAGGTTTTTCTAAAATCAGCCCGTTCATCATGTTTCTATTATTTCAAGTAAATCTTTTTTCTGAAGGGGAGAATTGTTTCTGTAAAATAATCCTTGCCTTTTAGATCATAGGATTTAGAGCTAAAAGTGACTTTTTAGATCATCCTTAGTGATAAGGAACTCTTAGCCTGGGATCTGTGAACTTGTTTTGTATTTATTTTGATAATTTTATTTCAATGTAATCAGTTTTCTCTATAATCCTATGCATTTTATTTTATTCATTTAAAAAAACATGATTCTGGGGGCATCTAGGTGGTACAATGGGTAGAGCACCAGCCCTGGAGTCAGGAGGACTTAAGTTCGAATATGGCCTAAGACACTTATTAGCTGTGTGGCCCTGGGCAAGTCACTTAACCCCGATTTGCCCCCCCAAAAAAAAATACAGAAGAAAAGAAAAGAAAAACATGATTCTGTGAAGGGCTTCACTGAAAGGGGACTATAACATGAAAAAAAGGTGAAGAACCTCTCATCTGATCCAAACCTGTAACTTTACAGACAGGGAAACTAAGACTCAGAAAGATAGAATAATCTGTCAAGTGTCTAGTAAATAACAGAGGCAGCCTTTGAATTGAACCAGTACTTCCTACTACACTTTGAATTGTCACATATCTGATGCTCTTCATGATAGCCTATGGGTTAGCTAGTATTAGGGTGGTTGTCCAGACCTGCTGATCCAGTGAGTGCCCTCATACAGATTTGTCCTTCCCAACACCTTGTGGTTGCTCAGGACAGGACAGTGGGAATGCAGGAACTGATGATTTGCATAAGTCATAGTGGCTCAGTTGAATGGAACACTTCTTTCCTGATCTCCCTGCCTCCTCATTTTCTCTAACTTTTGTCTCTCCTCCCCTCTCTCTCTCCCTCTCTCTTTCCTCCACCCCTTCTCTCTACTTCTCTCCCTTCATCTCTTTCTCCCTTCCTCCCTCTTCACTCGGTCTCTAGATTTATTTTGTTTTTGTTTCTTTGTTTCTATCTCTCTTCCTATGTCTCTTTGTATCCCCCTATGTTCTCTTCCCAACTATCATTGTCTCATATTTTCTCTCTTTCTCTCTTTCTCTCTCTCTCTCTCTCTCTCTCTCTCTCTCTCTCTCTCTCTCTCTCTCTCTCTCTCTCTCTCTCTCTCATTTCATCTTATTGCCTCTGTTCTTGTCTTTCTCTTTTTTTATCTCCTGTTTCCCTCTTTATTCTCTATTTGCCTTTCACTATCATTCTCTTTCTGTTCACTGTTTTTGTTTCTATCTCTTTGTATGTCATTCTCTGTTTCTTTGTTTTCTGTCTGTCTTTCTCCTTCCCCCCTCGCCTCCCTAACCTCCATCCCTTCCCAACCCAGAGCCAACAGCCTTGTCTGCTTCCTGGCTGGAGGACAGGCATTTGAGGGCCAAAGGCTCAAAGTATGGATCCCAGCTCTCCCCTCTGGATGTTGTAAGAAGGCAAGATGAGTCCTTCCCACTAGGGAGCAGATTGTGCTGTATGGGGGAGGGGACTAAAGCAACAGATTCATTTTATGGATCTGAGGAACTGGGAAATAAATCATGTTATGGGGGGGGGGTTTCTTCCAACTCTAAAGCTATGATCCTAAGAATTTATATAAAATTTTTTAAAAATCAAGACCACTTCTAGTTCATTTCTCATGTTACTTTGTCAAGCAAGTAAGGGGACCCAGCATTTTCTTGTACTTTCCTTATCGCCCAAATACTTTAATCTAAAAGTGACTCTTCTCTTGGGACAATGTATTGAACCTGGAAAGTTATATGCTGTGAGTTGAAATTCTGACTCATTAGCTTTATGACCATGAGAAAAATCAATTAGCTTCTTTGAACTCTTGCTTTCATCATCTTTAAAATGGGGGTGGTGATGGTAGTGATAATACTTACACTACCTACCTCATAGGGTTGTTGTGGGGAAAGCCATTTGTAAACTTTTAAAAGCACTATAGAAATGTGGTCTCTGATTATAATCTCTTCTGGGTTAGAGCAAGCCTTCCTGAAGACTGGAGATTGAACCCTTTGACTTGGCAAAATCCATGGTTCCTGGTAACCCATTACCACTCCCTGAAAAGGCCTCCTCACCTAAGTATTCATTCCTACTTAGGGAATCTTAACCTAACCTCTTCAGAAAACTGCTTCCGGAAATGGAGTTTGTATAGTGTTCTTGCCTGGAGTATCCTCTCCACTTATTTGGCTCTCACCTCATCCTTCAACGCCAGGGTCAAGTCCCGATACTTCCAGGATTCCTTTACTGACCACCTCAACACTAAATGGGAACAATGTCCCCCTTGCCTTCATTTCTCCAGCCTTTCCTGTACATACCATGCAATGTAGCCCTTGATAATACATATACCGTCTTGTATTGTTATACTGTTGCTTGTATGAATCTTCTCACGACATTCAGACTGGACAGACAAGGGCTCTCTTTTCCTTCTCTGTCCCTTCTTGTCAAACAGCCCTACACAAAGCTGGACAAACAATAAATACTTAGCAAAACCTTTGAATAGACAAGGCACGAAAAGATTGTCCAGTTCCTTCATTTTATGGAACAAAATGATACCCAAAGAGGGGAGTTACTTTCCTAGTGTCAACAAGTCAGTCTCAAATTTGTGACTAGAACCCATTTCTCCTCATTCTCAGCCCAGTGCCTTTTCCACCATGCCACTCACTGCATTTGATTGGTTATCAGCTAAGTGTTTATTAAGTGCCTACTATGTGCCAGGCATTAAGTATACAAAAACACTGAAATGAAACAATCCCTACTTCTTTCCCCCAACCCTAGCCCTTGATATTGCCTACTATAATTCAACTACTACCTCCTGGACATTTGGGAAGGAACTAGGTCCAAATCCTACTCCTGACTCTTACCAGCTGTGTAACTATGTGTATAAGTCATTTAACCTTTTGGAGTTTCAGTTGGGTGGTTTGTTGTGGTAGAGAGGTCAGGGTTGCTTTTTTTTTAGGGCAATACTAATATGGTTGGGTCAGATCCAGGAAATCAGTCAGAATTCTGGAGCAGTTCGGGGATTCCTGGGTCTCAGCAAACACTTCATTAGCCCACATCGTACCCCCACTGTGGCTGTTCCAGAGATGACACCAGCCCCTGACTAGCTGGCCGCCCAGTGCCTTGGCCTGAGAAGGAGATCTATCTGTAGTGATTCTTCTGTTACTTCTTTTTTTTGTCTTGATGAGTGAGCTCCTGGCTCTTCTGGTTTGCCTGATGATCTAACTGATGCTTTCTTCCTCTCTGATTCTGTTTCTCTGCTGCCTTTCTGTTTGGTGATTTGGAAGTATGGATGTCCAGCTGGGCTGAGTCTCCCAAGAGGGATCTCACAGGTACCACTCACTGCATGAACTGTGTGTGCTTGTGTAGGTGTATGGTGTTGTGCCAGGGTCCTGCATGGACTGCCTGCCTGCCCCCATAAAGGTTACATGCCAGATTGGAGGAAGGTAGTGGTACTGCCAGTCTGGGTTTTCCTAGCGAATCATTCATTGCCTTCATTACTGCCACTTGCTTATTTCCTAGCTTTGCAGTTCACCTTTAGAAGGCACTCAAAAATGCATGTTTTCCTAGTCCTGAGACCCTTGGTGGTGGTGGTGGTGGTGGTGGTGGTAGTAGTAGTAGTAGTAGTAGTAGTAGTAGTAGTAGTAGTAGTAGTAGTAGTGGTAGTAGTAGTAGTTGTTGTTGTAGCAGCAGCAGCAGCAGCAGTAGTAGTAATAGTAGTAATATAACCTATTCATAAACTGTTTGAATTGAAAGGGACCTTAGAAAACCAACCCCCCTCTGGTCCCTCATATTTTTATCTCCTTTCTCTTGATCATTTGCCACAGCCCTGAAGGCCAGTCAGGCCATGAATTATCACCATTTTTGCAGAAGGTAAAAACAAGGCCCTCAGAGGTGTACAGCGACTTGGTCAGGATCACTCAGCTCATTAGTTGCAGAACCGAGACTATAAAGTCCAGGCCTCCTGACTCCCAGCCCAAGCTTGTTTCTGCAACAACGTTGCTGTTACCTTCAGTCAGAGTCCCCTTTTTCTGAGTGGCTTGGTCTCCCCCAGACTCTCAAGTAGAAAATAAGGAGGTTTACAGTCAGTCCTTTCTCCCCTCTGAGGAAAGAGGTGAGGAGAGGTCCCATTAAGATCATTTAGGGAAGAAGGAATCAAAATTAGTCTATTTCATTTTATAACGTGGAGAAGAGACATGGAGGTCCCTATGAGGTTTCAAGGAAGGGCCAAGGTTGTCTTTTTCAGGGCACAAGCTGTCACCCCGGGGTGTACTTTAGGAAATCATTCCCTTTCTTTCCCTCCCCCTTCCTGTGCACTGGGATAAAAAAGGAAAGGGACAAGGACAGAGGACAATGGAATTGTCATGGAAGACTGTCCCAGTTAGTCAAAGCTGCCTGTTGGGGACTTCAAGATTTCCAGAGAAGAAGCAAATCAGGCAACAATGGGAAAAGGCAATAGATCTTTTATTAGGGAAGCAGTTTCTCACCCACCAGGGAAGGTTTTTAACTTTAGCTACCTGAGGCATGAGAGTAGTAGTCAGCAATGAGGTGACACCATAGAAGGAGTGATGAACTTAAGGACAGGAAGACTAGAGTTTGAACTCTTATTTAGCTGGGTGACCTTGGACAAGTTACTTAATCTCTCTCAGCCTCAGTTTCCTCATCTGTAAAAAGGGAACTAACAATAGCATCTACCTCCTAAAGTTGTTATGAAGATCAAGTGAGGTAATGGATGTAAAATTCTTTGCCACTGTAAAGTGGTATAGCTAATAGCTATTATTATTTTTTTTATTATTATTAGACAAGGATGCAATCAAGATCACTATTACCCAACAGATAAGGACCCCATTGGATCTGGAGGGGATCACTGTTACCCAACAGATAAAGACCCCATTGGATCTAGAGGGGATCACTGTTACCTCAGAGATAAGGATTCCATTGGATCTGGAGGGGATCACTGTTACCTCAAAGATAAGGACCCCATTGGATCTCCCAGGGCCAGGATATACAGAGTGGTCATACCTTTAGATGTGATGCTGTTCAGGCCCAGCAGGTGGAGGAAAGGGATTAAGGATCCAGACCTGCCTGGCCCTGGCAACCTGGTTATACCAGTTCTTTGATCTCTCTTCCAGTTCCTTAGTGTGACACACCTAGGCTGCATCTGAATTCGGAAGAGGGCCAGTTGTCTTAGGAGGTGGGAAGGGTCTCCCTCGGGCAGATCTAATTGGTTTTCCTACCACTGATGTCACAGTTGTGAGGGTGACTATTCTGTGAGTTTATGTGAGGGCTGGAAGCTTCTAGCAAGGAATAGCTTCTATGTGGGGATTTCTAGAAAAGGGGGAGGATAAGGGATGTCAAACAGAAGTAAGGGTCATCTCTAGAACATAGACAGACCCCTCTTGGTGAATAATGCTTCCTGAAAAGACAGAGGGAGCTTGCAGAAGCCCATCTCCTCTGTCTCCCTTTCCCCACCTCACTCCTGCCACACCCACAGAGGACCCAAAGACTGTCTTAGCTCTATCCTTCGCCAGGTCTCATCCCTGTAATGGAATCCCTGGGACATAGGAAGCTTGGGTTCTAGTGCAGCTGCACTATTCACTCACAGGGACTGCTGGAAAGTCTCTTTCCTTCCCCATAAGATGGAAGAGTTGGAGTAGATGGCCTGAAATCCCCTTCAGCTGACAGTCAATGACTTTGCTCTCTCTCTCCTGGAAGGGGAGAGCAGGAATATCCCTGGGCTAGGCACCTTGCAGGAATAAAAGGAGCGCACCTCGTGTCTGGAGGGACCTTCGATCCTCTCCCTGGGAAAGAGGAGGGCTCTGTTGCTCTCCTGTGCCACGTTTCACCCCGGCTGGTCTGTTCTCCACACAATGGCTGTCCTGATGTTGTCTATAATGAAGTGTTGGGTCCTGAGCTAATCGCTTGGGCTGTTTCCTTTTTTATTCTCCCCTTCCATAGGCCAAGTGTGGAGGGACCTCGAGCTGTGGCCAACAACAATACATTTTATTCAAGAGACGTATAGCTTTTCAAACTGTGTGTTTGTGGGGCAGCCAGCAGTGGCCTGGCCCAGCTTAGGAAGAAAAAAACCCAACCACATGACATTTATAGGGGCAGATGGGTTCTCAGTAGAATCTGGAGGGAGTTTCTAAGAGTTGAGTCCAGTGGTTGGGGGGAGGAGGGTGGGCACTAGGGCCAGGAGATAGTGGAATTTTACTTGGGAAGGGATCTTTGTAGAGTAAATAGCACATGGGTGGGTCATTTTGGCCTCCTAGAAAGAGACCCAGTCCAGGAGTCAGGGAACCTGGATTGGCTACTAACTAGCTGCATCACTTTGGTTAACCTCTCCTGGTTTTAATTTCCCCGCCTGAATATGTGGTATGATCCTTAACCTGCCCTTCTTCACAGGGATATTGAGACCATCACTTGGTGGGAAAAGTAATATGTGGATACCAGAGACAATTATAAAGAATGGTCACTGTGGCAGCTGGATCATTGGCAAGAATGCAGGATTTGGAGTCCAAAAACCTGGGTTTAAGCCCTGGCTCTGCTGACCTGCTGCTTCTGTGTCCTAGGGCAAGTCATTTCCTTTTTCTGGGCCCAAGTTTCCTCATCTCTAAAACTGAACTTAGTGTCATAGGCTCTGAGTTTGAATCCTGGTGCTGCCATTTATTTCCTGTGTGATCTTGGACAAATCACTTAACCTCGATGGGCCTCAGCTTCCTTCTCTGTAAAATGGGTTGAATTAAACCAGATGACTTCTAAAGTCCCTTCATATTCTAGCTCTGTGATATCTGAAATCCACAATCCTGTGATCCTTCCAACCAGTGACCCAAAGCTCTTGTCCCTGACCTAGTCTTAGATGATGTTGGCATTCACTTCTGATGCTGTAGTATTATTCTTCACTAAGAGATAAGTCTACTGGTATGTGCAGGACAGATTGGAAGGGAGTAGCTTAGAGGCAGGGAGAACCCCAGCAAGGAAGCTATTAGAGTAGAAAGCCAGGCTGTGCAGGAGTGAAGGTCTGGACTTAGGATGGTGAGATGTCATTTTCAGTTTGACTTACCAGGCTTTCCTCCAGGCCTGCTGAAAGCATAGTGACCTGCACAGGTCCTACCAACCTTGACCCTTGGGAAGAGTAGCCATGAAATCTTTGCGCCAGAGTCTCAGCAGGTCTGTCACAGGAATACATTACCAGGGTAGGACAGAGCTCATCAGCTGGCCCCTTTCCAAGACCCATGGGGAAATGCCCTTGCCACCGCTCCAGGCTCAAGCTGCCCCCAGCTTATCTGAAAACTAGAGGCATCCCATCCATGGCCTCTCTTCTGCCCCAGCTGAAGCAGATCTTCAGTGTTCCCATTACTGGCTGGGAGGGAATCCAAGGTGGCCGGTATGGAATTACGTCACTGCAGGCCGAGTAGTTTCTCATCTGGATACCTGCTTCCAGCTCAAGTATCCAAGACAGCTCCCACTCCATGCAGTCAGCATGAGTGTTGGGGCAGATGCCAGAGTACTTACTTACCAAGGCCTCAGGGAGAGATAGAAATGGAAAGACAGAGTGAGATAGGCAGAAAGAGAGTCAGGGAGAGGGAAATGAAAAACATTTATTAAGTACTTATTATATGCCAGACACTATGCTCATTTTAAGTATGTCTCTGAAAATATATGTGCATATGTGAGTGAATGTGTCGTGTGTACAAATGGAGTTGTATATTTTAGCCTATGCCTCTGTGCGCTAGTGTTTATGAGTTTGCAAGCAGATGCATTCACAGATATGCCCATTTGTGTGCATGTACATTTCTGAGTGTGCTTGTGTTTTTTGCGTAGTTATACAACTATGCAAATATGAGTATGCTTGTGAAAATGTGTCTAATTTGTATATGCAGTCTGTCAGAAGTGATTGTGTATATGTAAATTGGTGTATGTATGGGCAAGAGTGAGTGGGAATGTGGGACCATATGTGCTTTTTGTGACTGTTCACTTGTATGCGTGAGTACATAGAGAAAGAGAGGAGATCAGGGGAAGGGGTGGTGCAAAGGGGGGGACAGGGTATCTATCAGTTACTTGAATAGCCTCCAAGTGATGTGTTCATCTGTGTCCTAAGTGTGCACATCTGTGGGCTAAATGAACTTTTTCTACCTGTACCACAGAGGCTCAGCCCCTAGAAAGCTGAAGCCAACTTTCCAAAGAGGGATCTAGGATTGAGGGAATAGGGAAAAGGTTGGGGGTGGGGAAAAGCATAGTTTTTCCCTTCCTCTGTCATCCTGCCTCAGATTTTCTTGGCTTGGGTTTAAACCCTCCTGATTTTCCTCCAGCCCCTACCCTCATACTCTGCACATGGCCTGACCCCTCCAACATCTTTTGGCCATAAGCCTCCCTCTTTTTTTCTATCTTTTCTTCCCCTGTTCCCCTCCCCACCCTATTCTCTTTCTGGAGCCCAAACTTCCAACCTATCCTCTTTCCAAGTAGTTAATGCACAGAATTCTCTCTCCATATCAACTAATGACCAGCTCATCAGTTGGCAGGCCTGTGTCACCTTTCCTGGATACCCCAAAAAGAAGGGTGCTCCAGATCCCTGTACACTGAGAGTTTTTTTCTTTTTAAACATGTAGGCTTTAAAAGGAAGTCTCACCTGTGTGGCCATCTGGGCCAAGACATTCCCTAGGGAATATAAAGGAGGCAGGAGGAAAGAGTATCTTTTTGCTCACCATTAACCCCTTTAGGCAGGGAATGTTCTCACCCCTTGAAGGTCCCCATGCTCCAGCCTCAGTGGGAGGTATCTCTTCCTCATTCAAGCAATGCTGTCCAGCTGGAGAAAGGGGAGACTCCAGGCCCTGTCTTGGAGGAGGGGGGAAGCTGCCAGAGCTGTTGGTTACATTTCTTCTTGACATTTAATCACAGCCCTGGAGTGACTTGGCTTGGGTACTGTTCCAGGAATACAGTCACTGTACACACACACACACACACACACACACACACACACACACACACACACAACACAGAGATTTTCCTGGAACCATAGTTCTACAGTTGTGTGGTCTTTTTAGCTGTGTGCTGGGGGTATTGTGGCCTGTTCCTGGAGGTCCCTCTCTTCCTCACCCCCTTTTTGGGTGGCCCCCAATCTGTGCGATCTTGCTGATCAAAAGAAGACTGCTTACAGTAGCTCTGGCATTGCAGGTTTTGGCCATAGCTTCTGTAGCCCTTTGTGGAAGGGACTCACCCTCACCATTGGAGAAGGGCTTTGGGGTCTGCCTGAAGGAACAAATACCTGCCAGTAAAATGAGCCTGTTAAAGAAAAAACAAAGCAACTCATGGGGAAGGAGGGAGGGAAGGTGGTGGAGCAATGGCAAGAGTGGTTGGGCCACTGGGGGACGAGTCTGGAGAAAAGTTCAAGCAGTGCTCCAAATGGGCCAGACAGGGGTGGTGTTAATACTGGAGGTCCGCTGTGACTGATAGCACTGCTTGGGCATGTCTAGTTCTCTGCAGGGGCCTCTCCCTTCCAGAACACCTGTAAGAGCTAATGATACATGTGGGAGAAGGGGCAATTCAGTTTACCAGGATCCCAGATCTCAGGAAAGTGAAAGAGTGCCCCCTCTAGGAAGTACAAAGACAAAAGGAGCCTCTTCCAAACAGGGTGCTCCCAGCTAGGCAGGTCCAGTTCATATCTCTTCTTGTGCATAAGTCTCGTCTCTTCAACTCTCTCAGTGCTCTAGACAACGGTCTAAGACCCTAGTGCAGAGAATAGGCCAGTCTTCCCTGGTAGAGGGAGTTCCCTATACAAGTAAAATCACTAGTATCCCTGGGGACGGTTTTGTCCCTAAACTGATGCCAATTTATTGTATCAGGCCAGACACACAGTTAGGTGCAAGACTTGAAATCCTAGTGTCATAGATTGCTGGAGTTGAAAGGGAGCTTAGGGATTGTTTTGTCCAACCCTTTTATTTTACTAAAGAGGAAACTGAGGCCTGGGGAGAGGAAGTGAGATGTTTAATATGACAAAGTAAGTGGGTGGCAAGGCCAGGACCAGGGCCCAGGTCTCCTGATACCCATGCCAGTACTCTTTTCACTATCTCATAAACCCAAGGAAGGAGAAGACCAGAGCAGGGCCTTCTAAATCACTGCATCTCACAGAGCCAGCATAGGATATTGGTTTGAGAGAATAGTTCCTGCCTTCAGGTAGTTTTAGAGGTTAATTTAGGAGAGAAGACATGCACGAAGAAAAAAGTGACAGTATCAGGCAGGGTATGCTAGGTGCCAAGCTAACTATAGAATAACTTCTATAAATGTTAAGAGGGAGGGAGTATTTCTGTGGACTGGAGTGATTAGAGACCCCTCCTTGGAAGAGGTAGGACCCACCTTCTGACAAGGAAAGGCCCACGGGGGGTGGCCCTTGAGCTGTCAGTGAGGACCTTCTGACCTGCCTTTTCCTGCCCCACCCCCTCCCACTGCCAGCCTCAGTCTTGAAATCCTGGAGGTTGCAACAGACCCCCATAAAGGAGACCTGAGGAGGGAAGGAGCTGTGGCCAAGAACTCTCCCAGTGTGCTGGAGTGGGGCTGCAGGGGGGTCATTTTGCAATGGTCAGTCCTAGCTTGAAATCTCTTTTGGCAGAGGGGCAGTTGGGAAGGGAAGGGGGAGCAGGCCGACAGTTGGGCAAACCTCTGCTTTGGGGGCCGGGTCTTCGGGTGGGAGTGGAGGCGGGGAGTGTCATTGCACAAATAGCAGTAGACTCTGGGGCAGCAAAGGAGCCTTGGGTTTCAGTGGGGAAAGAATGCAACCGAACTTTTGGAAATTTCAGTTAGGGAGGGCGGGAGGAAGGCAGGCTGTTAGTAAGACTCTGGCTCTGGAGCTTAGTTCTTCAGTTTCAAGTAAACAGTCCCCCAGCCCTCCCTGCACTCCTACCCCTCCTTCCTTCCCTCCTTCCCTCCCTCCCTTCCTCCACCCCCCGCTCCTCATTCGATGGGGCTCATGTGTTTCTATTTAAGGGCTGCAGTGTAAACCCAAGTGATTGGCGTCCACAGTCCCCTCTTAACTTCCAGCCTAAGCTTCAGACAGCTCCAAGAGAAGGAGCTGGGGCTCTGAGGGGAGAGCTGTTTATTTTTGCTGGAGTTTGCAGGGGTGGGGGGAGGTGGGGACTCTTCCTTCTTTCTTTCTTTCTTCCTTTCTTTCTTTTTCTTTTCTTTTTGTTTCCTTTCCCTTTTTCCACCACAGACCCGAATGCCTCCCCCCCACCCCTTCCTGGATCTCATGTTCAACACTATGAGGCCAGGCCGGGAGATTGTGGAGCTCACATTCGGAAGAGGCTTATTTTCAGACTCCTTTAGGAAACTTTGAGATTAGCTCACTCTCTGTGGAGCAAAGTTTGGGATTTGCTTTTCCGCCCTTTTCCCTTTCTTCTCTTACCACTTCTCCTTTTTCTTTCTCCCTCCACCCCTTCTCCCTGCACTCCTGCTCCCCAATGTCCCCAGGCCCCGCTGCACTGCGGGCCAGAGGGGGTTATTCCTATATGGCCAGGCCTTTGGGATTATGCTGTGAGCCCCAGCTGCCCGCTGATTGGTCTAGTACTGGCGACAGATCGGCCTATCATGAGTCGGATGGACAGAGGTCGGCCACCCCGTGGAGCCATGGCTGGACGCTGGCTCACCGCATGCTTTCTGCCCTCACCAGGTGCCGACGTGAACTCGGAGCCCATGATCCTGGAGCAGTATGTGGTAGTGTCCAACTATAAGAAGCAAGAGAACGCCGAACTCAGCCTGCAGGCTGGCGAGGTGGTAGATGTCATCGAGAAAAATGAGAGCGGTGAGACCCTCCTTCCCAGTCATCCTGGGGATGTTTGCCTGTGTCTGCTTTCTCATCTGAAAGTTACTATTTTTGTTCCCTTTCCTCTTCTCCCCACCTCTCCCCTCATCGCCGGTCTTCTCCCTCCCTCCTCCCTCTCTCCCTCTTTCACTGAAGCTATACATTAGCTCCATCTGGTTCTGTGCTTGGCTGTGGGGGCTGAAGTTTCACCCTGTTGGTTTGGGCCAGAGGCCAGAAGGTTGTCTTGTGCTGTAAGAATGTCTCCCGGGCTGATGGAGTAATTAACCAGCTCCCGTTAATGGAAAGCCAAGGCAGCATCGCCTGGGCTGAGATCCCACTTCCAAAGACTGACCAGTACAGCAGGCGACTCTTCCCCACTCCCCCCCTCCATCTTGCATCTCCCAGCCCCAGAGTGGGGTTGGGGGTTGAGCTCAGAGGTTCTTTGATGGATTGCGTCCTGTATGTAGGTGCCTGGTTCTCTTTGGACCCTTCCCTCACCTCCCCACTCTCCCATTGTTACCTCTCCTCCTGGGACCACGTTCTTAGCCAGGGCCCAGCCAGGGATATGGGACAAGCCAGGCCATGATCAGTTAACCACCAAGGAGACAGAGAAAGTGATGCATCTTGGCCCTTTTGCCAGGGAGGCCACCACAACCCTCAGCCACTCAGAGGGTTGGAGCAACTGCAAGTTTTGACAAGTTGCCAGCTTACCAGGTCCCTGTCCCACACTAAGTCTTCAGGTCTTTAAGAGGCCCCGGGGATGAAGGGTCTCTGGAGAAAGCCCACAGTTCCTACATGGATGGTGTGGGGACTGTACAGTCAGAACCCCTCCCCATTTTGTACAAGGCCAAGATCAGGGTCACTAGAGGAAGCAGGGAGGTCAGTCCCATGGATGTCCAGGAAATAGTAGGGAGGAGGCAGGGAGAACCATTAAGAGGCTTTCACAAACTAGGCCAAAGTACATATTGACTCAGGAGCAAAAGTCACTGTGGTGAAAAGAGAGACCCAAGAGTCAATAAAGCTGATGGGAGGTGTGGATCCATCCCCACTGTTGGCACACAGCTGACAATAGCCACGCTGCTGTGGGGCAGGATTCAGGTTGGATATGGAAGGCACTTTTGCTCAGGCTGGTGGCAGTAGATTGACTTTCCTGGAAATTTGTTTGAGGAAAATTCCTCAAGAGCACTGACATTTTCAGAGCCCTGTCCAGGAGCTATTTGTCCCTCCACTGCCCTCTGGGGTTAAGGATGGGGAAGATTCTGTCTCTTCCCCAGTCTATATGACCAGTACAGGTCCCTACCCACAAGGGAAGAGTCAGTATTGAGAACTATCCTAACAATCTCTCATATTCTTATGGTATTTTCTGTTTTATCGGATTCTTTCCCATTCATTCTCTCATTTGAACTAGTATTCCTGTGAGGTAGCAAGGCAGAACTGTTTTCTAATTCACACATCGGTAAATTGAAGTGACTTGCATAGAGTCGCAGTGCCTGGACCAAAAGCCAGGTCTCCCGATTCCCAGTCTGAGCAGTCATTCTATAACTCCATGCGTGGTTAGGCTGAATGTAACTCGGTATCCTTCCCCTACCGTGTCCTGCCGTGGGGAGCATCTGTGAATGATGAAAGAGGAAAGGGAATCAGCTGGTTGCCAATGAAGAAATTTTTGTCTTGTCTTGGAAGCTCCTTTATAGAGTGGAATGTGAGGGCAGAGGTTGTTTGAGGCCCACAGTCCTTGGACCCGACTTTTGAGAACAGTGCTCGTGTGTGTCCACAGGTATCCTGGTAGGAATAATAATAATAGCCGTCATCATTTATATTAATAATCTTCACCATTATTATTTATATTAACAACTGTCATTTATATGAATCTTATTATTTAAATGGATAATTGTCATTATTATTATTATTCTTTATATCAATCAATAATAAAGAACTTTAAGGTTTGCAAAGGACTTTACCCATGTTATCTCATTTGGTTCTCACAACAACCCATTTTAAAGAATGGGAAAACTGAGGTTTACAGAGGTTAAAATGATTGCAACAGCTTTAAATATCTACTGTATCTAAAGCTGAATTTGAACTTGGCTCCTCTTGACTCTAAGCCCAGTGCTTTGTCCACTGTACCACTCAGCTGTTACCCCTTTGACTGCTGTTCTCTCCCTCCATTTTGGAAAGAAGAGGCATCACAGAAAAGCCATGTGCAAAACAAGTGGGGTTATAGAAGCAGAGCCATAGAAGCTCAGAAATGGAAGAGATCTTTACAATCATCTAGTCTGACCCCCTTATTTTATAAAAGGGGGGACTAGAGGCTAGGACTGAGAAGCTAGTTCCATAGTCACTTGGTCACATAGTTGGCAGAAACTGGGACTGAAACTCGGGCATCTCAACTTGTGCTCCAAGGCTCTTCCCAGTACATGTGAGCACAAGATTATTAGATTGTAAACTCATTGAGGGCAGGGACTGTCTTTTGCCTCTTTTGGTATCCCTAGGGTTTAGTATGATGCCTAGCATATGACAGGTGCTTAATCAATGATTGATTGATCATGGGATAATGGGAAGGATAGCTTGGGTGCCAAAAAGGCTAATGTGACCTCAGGCTGCTTACTGGAAGAATTGGGGTCTAGAACGAAGGTAGGGACAGCCCTACTGGATTCCTCTTGGGTATTGGGTTCAGTTCTGGGAAATGTCATTTTAGGAAAGACATTGACCAGCTAGAGCACTTCAGAGGAAGATTCTCAGGACAGTGAAGAGACTCAAAATCTTTACATGTGAGAAATAAGTAAAAGAGTTGGTTATTGGGGGGGGGGAGGCAACATGGTCATGGCCTTCAAATATCTGAAGGTAATATGGTACAGTGGGAAGATTGCTGGATTTAGAATCAAAGAACCTGGATTCAAATTCTGGCTCATGCCCTTATCTGTAAAATGGGTGTATTAGACTAGATGACCCAAGGTCCCTTGCAACTCAAAGACCATGATCCTGTGATCTATAATTCCCATGATTCTCATGTGGAAGAGGCATTAAACCTTTTCTGTGTAGTGCCAAAGAGCAGAGGTGGGACTGATAGTAGGGAGACATATTTCAGAACTTCGGAATCACTACAGCTGTCCAACAGCGAGGCGGGCAGCCTCATGAAGCAATGAGCGCCATGTATCATTGGAGGTATTTAAGTAAAGTTTGAATGACCAGCTGCCAGGAATACTCTGGGGGAAAATTTCTTGTACTGGGGTACTAGGTGACTTCTAATTTCCTTTCCAACTCTGAGATGCTGTGATTCTGTGAGATGATGCAGATACTAATGTCTACCACCACCCCACACCCACTCAGAGCTTCGGAGGATTCAGCATTCAGAGGGCCAGCAGGTGCTACAGTGGAGGGATGGGAAAGGCTTTCTTTGAACACTTACCAGTGGCTGGAATGAATAGTTAGAAAAGCACAGAAAAAGCATCAGAGTCCTCCCTAGGGTAAGAAGCCCCCTGGAGGTACTTTGCAGGGCCCTAAGCATCCTTAATATGCTACCCACCCTTGACCAGAATCACCTAGTGCATGGGTAGAGTCTCAGTATAGGTGAAAAAACAGTGTGGTGTACTCTAGACTCTGCCTTAGGTAACAGGAGACTTGTGTTTCCTTCCTCTTACCCTCTTACTATCCATGTGACTCTGAGCAGATCAGACTTTTAAAGTCTGTGAGCTCATTCATTTGGCCTGTGAAATGGGAATAATAATGTCTTACCTGCCTGAAAGTAGAGGGTGGGACCAGATTGTCTCCTTAATATCCCTGAGAGCTCTGCAGCCTGTTATTCTCTGCTACAAAAGAGTGGGAAGAGCCTTCTCTGAGCTCTGGGTTTAGATTTTCTTTGTTTTAGTAGGGTTGTTTATTATCCCTACCCCCACCCCCCCACCCCAAGTAGGCTTTGAATGTCAGTGTGGGACGACTACTTTCACATGAGTCCTGGGAGCCCTGAATTTTTTGTTCTGCTCCGGTCCTTTTTTGCTGACATGGGAAACTAGGAAGTACAAAAGGAACTTGAGGCTTTAGCCAGAAAAAGGGGTGTATGCAGGGAGAGGTGGGGTTTCCTTTCTTTTAGGAGGCTCACCACTTCTGACCAGGAAGGTAGCTTCAGTCGTATCTATGTGCTTGTATGGGCTTATGTTGGCATCTTCATATGCAACATGCATGTCTATGTGTGTATATATATACATATATACACACACACACACACACACATATGTGTGTGCGTGTGTGTATGTGTGTTATGTGTGCTACTGTCTACAAGCTGGACTCTGAATGCATAGCAAGTGAAGTTTGAACTTGGAAACAATGGCCTGACTGTGGTGTCTTTGACCTTGGGACGTGGGCGTGTTGAAGCATTTCCACTAACATTATTGGAGCTCTGTTCTGAGCTGGTTGTGGAGCAAATGAGTGAAACCTCTGCCTTTTCCTTGCCTCGCTTTGCTCCCTGAGAACATCAGAGTTTCTCACTCTTTACCTTCGCTGTTAGACTCAGAGACAGATCTCTGAAGGGTTCCAGCTAATGAGAACTCTCCAAGTGGTGTTTCTCTGTATCTAAAATTCTTCCCTGTGTGTGCAGTAAGAACCCTCTGGTATACAGGATAATGGAGTTTGAGACACGCTGTTGCTGGTCTGAGCAGAAACTTGATGTAGGAAACGCAAGGCAATTCAGAGAAGGGCCCTGGTGTCCCAAATAGCATTTTTGGAAGCCCTCAGATTGTGATGATGTGGGTGTGGAGGCAATCCAGGCCAGCTAATGTGTGGCAAGATGTTATGTGGATATCCAGTTGAGTGAGTGACCTCAGTGCCTAGGATGGTACTTTGCACATAGTTGGAAGCTCAACAAATATTTGTTGATGGATTGGGTTTGGAAGAATAGGAGTAGTTCAGGGGGTCTGAGTTGAGTACCATATGCCTAGAAATAATAATATTAGCTAGCATTCATTTATATAGCACTTTAAGTTTTGCAAAATGCATACACAATTTCA